GTTACTCTTCTTCCTTGTGATAACTGGTGCCTTGACCTGTGTCCAGCAAACTTTCTGGACACTCCACCATGCCCCAGGGAGCTCAGAGGCTATGCCTAGAATGCTATGGCTGGGAGGAGTGCTTGCCTGAACATCACTGCATGTTCTGTCTTATTGGAACAACTCTGTGCCTCCATATTAGGTAGAGTAGAGAAGTGGAGACCCCTGCAAGACTTTCAATCTCATGGAAGAGAGGAAGAAGCCAATGCAAATTCTGCCATGATCTGGGTCTCCCAAATGTCAAGTCCCAGGCTGCAGAGAATTGTAGATAAGTGCTGGCCTGTTTGAAACCAAGCACATAGCCTTATGGTTGCCATTCTTTGCATTATTTGTTCTTTTCTCTTGCTCCAGACCTGCTTCTAACAAATTCTTTCTTCCCATTCTTATCAATCAAGATAATCAGAAGTAGCTTTCTCACATGTATAGACTCAGCAGTGTGCTTTCACTGTCTTTCCTCTAGACTAAGTCATATCTTTGGCCCTTTGACATAATAGAGTCTGAAGAAATTTTGGTCACTTGATATCCCACAGAACATCTTGTCAGTCCATCACATTGATTACATTATGCTAACTGGCTATAAGGAATGGAAATAGAGGGCATCCTAGGTGCTTTAACACGTACACCCAGGGAATGGGAGATATACCTGATAATAGTCCAGGACTTGCCATGTTGGTGAAATTTCCAGTGGTCCAGTGGTCTGGAGCATGCAGGTACGGTTCCTCTGAGCCAGGAAACAAGTTGCTGCACCTTGTACTACCCACCATGAAGAAAGATCTAATGTTTGATGGGCCTTTTTGGATTTTGGAGACAACAAAGGCCACTTTTGGGCATTCTCTCCTATCTATTTCCTCAGGGAATGTTAAGAATTAAGAAAAGATTCTGCAACAGGTCCAAGATGTGTAGAAAGTTGCTTGCCATTTGAGTCTTAGTACCTAGCATATGCATTATATTACAAGCGTCTGTGGCAGGTTAAGATGCTGGATAGAACCTTTGCAAGTCCAAGTACGAGAATTACAGAACACACACCTCGAGTAGTGAGGTCAGGCCTTTCCTTCTTCTGTTGTCATGTGCTTTCTATTTGAGAAGAAGCTCCTGACCTGCTAGAGGACCCTGGTAAAGACTGAATGTCTGACCATGGGATATCAAGTCACTCTGCAACTGGACCCTTCCATCACAAATTTGGAGTTATCTAATCTATGAAGTCTTGAAATGGGATGTGCATAGAGATGGTCTATTGTCAAATGGAGGTGATATAAATGACTCAGAGCTTGATCAGTTCCAGAGGAAATGAGTAACCTGTATAATCAGGTGTTTGGGCTCCAAGGACCTACTGATTTCCCCTCCTGCTTCATTCTTGCCCATTGCCACTAAGTCTCCCAGAGGTGCTTCCCTTTCTGTGTCACTGTTTGCTCTGTAAGAAGTGATAACTTCCCATGTCTGTCTGCTTGAGTCCCTTGCACTTTCAAATCCCATCTTTTAATTTTTTAAAATTTATTTGCTTTTGCTGGGAAAGATTTGCACTGAGCTAACATCTGTTGCCAATCTTCCTCTCTCTCTCTCTCTTTTTTTTCCTCCCCAGAGCCCCGCTGCATAGTTGTATATTCTAGTTGTAAGTCCTTCTAGTTCTTCTTTGTGAGCCACTGGCACAGCATGGTTACTGACAGATGAGTTGCATGGTTCTGCACCTGGGTTGCAGAAGTGGAGTGTGCCAAACCTTAACCACTAGGCATCAGGGCTGGCTCTCAAATCCTTTCTTTTTGATTTCTTAGGAACCAGGGATCTGATCTACCAGTTATCAGCCTTGTTCTCAGTATTTCTCCATTCATGCTTGGACTTTTTCTTTTTCTGAGGGTGATTTTGTTTATGTTCTAGGCTGAGCCCACTGCTCCTATTTCCTCATTTCCATGCAATCTCTGTGTGGAATGTACGTCTGTGCATAAACACAGACTCTAACACTACATTTGCTTGATTTGAGTGTTTATTTCTCTGCTAATACATCATTTGAAATTTGTAGCATTCTCTATTTCCTCATTCAGCTGAGGGTATGGCTTATGGATTGATTTATTTGCTCTCCTTGTTGATCTGTATGGGCACCAGTTATCACAAGGAAGAAGAGTAACTGCTTCCAGCAAATTTAGGCAGCCACAGTTACACTATGGCAGACTATTTTTTTTTACTTGCTTTTAAGAACTTCAGGGAATTTTTGGCAATTCTGTCTTAATTTTAAGATTCGATTTTCAGAAACAATTTTTGTAGAAAAGGTGGTAATTTTTTCTTCTATTCATTCCTAAATATTTTCTAATTTCCCTTGTGATTTCTTCTTTCATCCATTGGTCATTTAAGAATGTGCTGTTTAATTTCCACAAATTCGTGAATTTTCCAGTTTTATTTTTGTTGTTGATTTCTAACTTCATCTCGTTGTGGTTGGATAATATCAATTTTTTGAAATCTATTGAGACGATTTGTGATCTAACATATGGTCTATCCCCAAAAACGTCCCACGTGCACTTGAGAAGAATGTACGTACTGTTGTTGTTGAGTTGAGTGTTCTGTATATGTCTGTTAGATCTAGTTGTTTTATCATGCTAAGTCCTCTATTTCCTTACTTATCTTTTGTCTAGTTGTCCTATGTGTTATTGAGAGTAGGGTATTGAAGTCTCCAATTATTACTGTAAAACTGTCTATTTCTCACCTCAATTCTGTCAGTTTTGCTTCATATATTTTGATGATTGTCATTAGGTGCATAAATGTTTATAATTGTTGTATCTTTTTGCTGTATTGAAGCTTTTATTAATATATAACGTCCTTCTTTGTCTCTTGTAAATTTTTTTGATTCAAGGTCTGTTTTGTCTGATATGAGTATAGCCACCCCGGCTCTCTTTTTGTTACTATTTACATGGAATATCTTTTTCCATCCTTTCAGTTTCAATCTATTTGTGTGTTTGGATCTAAAGTGAGGCTCTTATAGAGAGGCTATGGTTGGATCATGTGTTTTTATCTATTCTGCCAATCTCTGCCTTTTGATTGGGGAGTTTAATCTATTTATACTTAAAGTAAATACCGATAAGGAGGGACTTCTGCCATTTTTCTATTTGTTTTCTATATGCATTATAGCTTTTTTGTCCCATATATATGACTGGATGGATATACACAAAAATGTTAGCACAAGGTGAAAAAATCAGTAGTGATTTTAAAATTTCTTTGTAATTTTCATAGATTTACACATTAAGCATGAGCTGCTTTTTAAATAGTACAAAAGCAACAAATAATATTCTGGAAATAAACCATTTTTCCTATAGAGAGAAGTAAATGGGATGAAGCGATGAGGGGCCCTATGAAGAGGTCAAGGCCAAGGATATGTTATAAAATGGGAAGAAGCAATGAAACAGACCTAGAGAAGAAAATTTTCAGGCAATCCATAAGGTTTTGCTTCCTTCTTGCTCTCCATCCTTCCCATTCTAGCCAAGCAACTCTGGGACTACTCCAAGCCCCGGGCAGGACTTACCCCAAACTCTCAACAGTCAGCTTGGCCCCTAAAATTCCCCTTCCCATTATGCTCCTCTGCTAGTATTTTAAGGGCACCTGGAGAGAGTGATCTTGGTGATGGGAGATGGGTCCAAGGAGTATCATGGCTCCCAGTCCCAAGAGAAGCTGAGGGCTTCACCATCCGGCATACATGGCTCTCGACTCACTTCCTTTTAAATCCTTTACCTGGCACTTACTAGCTGTGTGACATTGAATAAGTTGCTTAACTCCTCTGTGCCTCAGTTTTAGCATCTGTAAAATAGGAATAATAATAATCCTAAACTCATAGGATCGTTGAGAGTATGAGTTAATACACATTAAATATCTGGCATGTCAACACAAATAATCCATAATCAATCTATAAATCAAAATTGGGGTGAGTTTATTATGAGCTATGTCTGAGGACTATAGCCTGGGGCCTTCTTTTCCTGAGAAAGGAACGGCACCAAAGAAGCGGAGTGTACAGAATGGTTATATACTGTCTTGGAACAAAGAGCAGACATCACAAATGATGTGAATGTCCCTTTTACAAGTCACAAGATTGCTTTGCTGGCACAGCACATCAGTGGTCACAAGGCAAGCACAGCAGGTTGGTAATTAATCCTTAGTTTCTAGGAAGAGATGTTTAGCAGTAAGGAAATGCCAGTATGGGGGAAGATACACCCCTGTCTTTAAGGACATCATTCTTGTCTTTGGGACATAGTGGATGTTTAAAGCAGATGTACAATGCATATTCAACAGGCCACATCAGGTCCTTTTGGAAAAACAAAGTCAGGCCGAACTAGTTTTAAACCAAATGGCTTCCTCATATACTCCAATAAATCCTATTGCTTTTCATTTATTTATCAGACACATAGTGAATTTGGTGTTAAACCAGGTGACTCTTGACACTTCATTGGGTAAGTGTTTCCTTTGTTTATTTAACAAACCTTACATAGCACTGTCTGTATGCCAGACATTGGCCCTTAGTACTTAACAAACAATCACTCACGGAGCCCCAACAACTACCCTGTGAGGAAAGTACTGTTACTATCCCCACTTTGCAAATGAGAAAATTGAGGCACAGAGAGGATTAGTGACTTGCCTAAAGTAAGTGGGAGCTGGGACTTGAATCCAAGTTAAATCTATGTTTTAAATCTCTGTGTTATATAGCCTGTTCTTGGCAGAGCTCTCTCTTTTCTTCAGCACAAAAGCCTCAAGACACTGCTGACAAGGTAGTGTTAGACTGATGCTAGCAATGGAGAAATTAATATAGAGATGGGTGAGACTTTGCAAAAGTCATCACACAAGTGTTAGAAAAATAGAGATACAGACAGATATGCAGATCCTCCCCCACCCCTCCAATCCCCCAGCCTTCCAGGAAGCGTGTGTGCTGGGGGAGGAGAGGCTCCTCTAATCACACAGTGTTCCGCTTCTACCTGTGTTACTCGCAGCAAAAAAGGAGAAAGAAAGTACATCTTGAATAGAAATTCAGTGACAATGTTCTGTACGTACCCAGCTTATGGCTTGGGGCGGAACTCACAGATCTGCCACAACTAGAACAACTAGAATGATTACATTCTGAGTCTGTGAATCTGTTCTGGCCATCACCTGCCCCCTGTGCAGGGGCTCTACGGTTCCCAGAGACCAGCAAGAAGAGCCATCAGCCAAATAATACCAGCACTTCTAACTTGAACATCTTCAGAGGTAGGTGGAGGTCAGAGTCCCGGGATTGAAAGTGTGAGCCTACAAACCCTTTTATTTGTGGCTTGGTTGAATGAGCTCCCTGTCCCAGTCATGCTCCCAGATCATGCCAATGCTAGCCCTCTATGGAAGAAGTTATTGTCCTTGTTGTTCAAAGGGAGAAACCGAGACAGAGAAAGATGACATGGGTGGACACCATGTCCCTTCATATGTAATACCCCAAGAAGAATACTGTGTATTGCCTACATAGGATTCCCACTGAGGTGCATAACTTGAGTCTAATCATGAAGGAATTTCAGATAAACTTAAAATTCAGAATGGTCAGTTAAAAGAAAAGGTTGGCTGTATTCTTCAAAAATTTCAACATCATAAAAGACAAAGGATATTACAGGTGAATTTGTAAAATGGAATACTGATGGTAGATTAGACAAAAGTATATTTTATGAATGTTAAATTTAATGAAGTTGATAATTGTACTACGATCATGTAAGAAAATGTCTCTATTGTTAATACTCACTGAAGTATTATTCGTAAATAAGGGCCATGATGTATGATACCTACTCTCAAATCGTTCAGAAAAAAATATATATAAATGAGAGAGTGAGATTGAGAAAGAGAGATAGAAAAAAAGAGGAGGCAATTAGGGGTAAATTCTTAAAATAAGTGAATCTGAGCAAATGGTATACAGATTCTCTTTGTGCTATTCTTACTCTTGTAACTTTGAAATTATTTCCAAATAGCTTTTTTTGAACTTTATTTTTTAATTTTTTTATTATTTCATTTTTTTAATTTTTAATTTTTATTGCAGTAACATTGGATTATAACATTCTATAGACCTCAGATGTACATCGCAAGATACCTTGAACTCTGTGCAGATCACATCATGTTCACAATCCAAAACTAACTATAATCCATCACCACACATGTGTGCCTAATCCCCCCTACCACTCTCCCCTCTCTCCCCCTCCCCCGTGGTAACCACCGATCCAATCTCCATATGTTTGTTTGTTGTTGTTTTTATCTTCCACATATGAGTGAGATCATATGGTATTTGACTTCCTCCCTCTGACTTATTTCACTTAGCATAACACCCTCAAGGTCCATCCATGTTGTCACAAATGGCTGGATTTCATCATTTCTTATTGCTGAGTAGTATTCCATTGTGTATATATACCACATCTTCTTTATCTATTTGTCCCTTGATGGGCACCTAGGTTGCTTCCAAGTCTTGCCTATTGTGAATAATGCTGCAATGAACACAGGGGTGCAAGTATCTTTATGTATTTGTGTTTTGAAGTTCTTTGGATAAATACCCAGTAGTGGGATAGCTGGATTGTATGGTATTTCTATTTTTAATTTTTTGAGAAATCTCCATACTGTTTTCCATAGTGGCTGCACCAGTTTGCATTCCCACCAGCAGTGTATGAGTGTTCCCTTTTCTCCAGATCCTCTCCAACACTTGTTGTTTTTTTGTCTTGGTAATTATACCACTCTGACTGATGTAAGGTGATATCTCATTGTAGGTTTGACTTGCATTTTCCTAATAGTTAGTGATGTTGAGCATCGTTTCATGTGTTGGTTGGCCATCTGTATATCTTCCTTGGAAAAATGTCTGTCCATATCCTCTGCCTATTTTTTGATTGGGTTTTTTTGTCGTTGTTGTTGAGTTGTTTGAGTTCTTTATATATTTCAGAGATCAACCCCTTGTCTGACAAATGATTTGCAAATATTTTCTACCAGTTGGTGGGTTGTCTTTCCATTTTGTTCATGGTTTCCTTTGCTTTGCAGAAACTTTTTAGTCTGAGGTAGTCCCATTTGTTAACTTTTTCTTCTGTTTCCCTTGCCTGAGTATACATGGTATTCGAAAAGATGTGGCTAATACCAATGCCATAGAGTGTACTGCCTATATTTTCTTCTAGGAGTTTCATGGTTTCAGGTCTTCCATTCAAATCTCTAATCCATTTTGAGTTAATTTTTGTGTAAGGTGCAAGATAATGGTCTACTTTCATTCTTTTGCATGTAGCTGTCTAATTTTCCCAGCACCATTTGTTGAAGAGACTTTCCTTTCTCTATTGTATGTTCTTGGCTCCTTCGTCAAAGATTAACTGTCTGTAGATGTGTGGTTTTATTTCTGGGCTTTGAATTCTGATCCATTGATCTCTTTGTCTGTTTTTGTGCCAGTATCATGCTGTTTTGATTACTATAGCTTTGTAGTATGTTTTGAAGTCAGGGATTGTGATGCCTCTGGCTTTGTTTTTTTCCCTCAGGATTGCTTTGGCTATTTGGGGTCTTTTGTTGTTCCATATAAATTTTTAGATTCTCTGTTCTATTTCTGTGAAGAATGTTATTGGGATTCTGATTGGGATTGCATTGAATCTGTAGATTGCTTTAGGTAGTATGGACATTTTAACTATGTTTATTCTTCTGACCCATGAACATGGAATATCTTTCCATTTCTTTATGTCTTCTTCAATTTATTTCAATAATGTCTTATATTTTTCAGTGTACAGGTCTTTCACCTCTTTGGTTAAGTTTATTCCTAGGTATTTTGTTTCATTTGTTGTGATTGTATTCTTGATTTCTCTTTCTGTTAGTTCATTGTTAGTGTATAGGAAAGAAACTGATTTTTTAAAATTGATTTTGTACCCTGAAACTTTGCTGTAGTTGTTGATTATTTCTAATAGTTTTCTGATGATTCTTTAGGGTTTTCTGTATACAGAATCATGTCATCTGCAAATAATGAAAATTTCAGTTCTTCCGTTCCCATTTTGATTCCTTCTATTTATTTTTCTTGCCTAATTGCTCTGGCTGACACTTCCAGTACTCTGTTGAATAGGAATGGTGAGAGAGGGCACCCTTATCTCATTCCTGTTCTCAGAGGGATGGCTTTCAGTTTTTCACCATTAAGTATGATGTTGGCTGAAGGTTTGTTGTACATGGCCATTATTATGTTGAGGTACTTTCCTTCTATACCTATTTTATTGAGAATTTTTATCATAAATGGATGTTGGATCTTATCAAATACTTTCTCTGCATCTATTGAGATGATCATGTGATTTTTACTCCTCAATTTGTTAATGTGGTGTATCACATTGATTGATTTGTGTATGTTGAGTCATCCCTGCATCCCTGGAATAAATCCCACTTGATCATGGTGTACCATCCTTGTAATGTATTGCTGTATTCAGTTTACCAATATTTTGTTGAGGATTTTTGCATCTAACTTGATCAGTGATGTTGGTCTGTAGTTTTCCTTCTTTGTGATGTCCTTGTCTGGTTTTGGTATCAGGGTAATGTTGGCCTCATGAATGTGTTAGGAAGAGTTCCATCTTCTTCAATTTCTTGGAATAGTTAGAGAAGGATAGGTACTAAATCTTCTTTGAATGTTTGGTAGAATTCTCCAGAGAAGCCATCTGGTCCTGGATTTTTGTTTTTTGGGAAGTTTTTGATTACTGTTTCAATCTCTGTACTTGTGATTTGTCTGTTCAGATTCTCTGTTTCTTCTTGATTCAGTTTTGGGAGGTTGTATGAGTCTAGGAATTCATCCATTTTTTCTAGACTATTGAATTTGTGGGCATATAGTTTTTCATAGAATTCTCTTATAATCCTTTGTATTTCTGCAGTATCTGTTGTAATTTCTCCTCTTTCATTTCTAATTTTGTTTATTTGTGCCTTCTCTCTTTTTTTCTTGGTGAATCTGGCTAAGGGCTTGTCAATTTTGTTTATCTTCTCAAAGAGCCAGCTCTTAATTTCATTAATCCTTTTTACTGTTTTTTAAGTCTCTATTTCATTTATTTCTGCTCTGATTTTTATTGTTTCTCTCCTTCTGCTGACTTTGGACTTTCTTTGTTCTTCTTTTTCTTACTCTGTTAGGTGCATTTTAAGATTACTTATTTGAGATTTTTCTTGCTTGTTGAGGTGGGCCTGTATTGCTATGAATTTCCCTCTTATGACCACTTTTGCTGAATCCCATAAGAGTTGGTATGCTGTATTTTCATTTTCGTTTGTCTCCAGGTATTTTTTAATTTTCCCTTTGGTTTCTTCAATGATCCAATGGTTGTTCAATAGCATGTTGTTTAGTCTCTACATATTTCTGACTTTCCCAGTTTTTTTCTTGTGGTTGATTTATAGCTTCATAGCATTGTGGTCAGAAAACATGGTTGAGATCATTTCAATCTTCTTAAGTTTATTGAAGTTTGCCTTGTTTCCCAACATATGGTCTATCTTTGAGAATGATCCATGTGCACTTGAGAAGAATGTATATTCTGCTGTGTTTGAATGGAATGTTCTGTATATATCTATTAAGTCCATCTGATCAAGTGTTTCATTTAAATCTACTATTTCCTTGTTGACTTTTTGTCTGGATGATCTGTCCATTGATGTGAGTGGGGTGTTGAGGTCCCCTACTATTATTGTGTTGCTGTTAATGTCTTCCTTTAGGTCTGTTAATATTTCTTTATGTGCTTTGGTGCCCCTGCATTAGGTGTATATATATTAATAAGTGTTATCTTCTCTTGGTGGAATGTCCCTTTTATCATTATATACTGCACTTCTTTGTCTCTCATTGTCTTTTTAAAATTGAAGTCTGCTTTATCTGATAAAAGTATGGCAACACTGCTTTCTTTTGGTGGCCATTAGCTTGGAGTATTGTCTTCCATCCCTTCACTGTGTCTATGTTTGTCTTTGGAGCTGAGTGCGTTTCCTAGAGGCAGCATATTGTTGGGTCTTGTTTTTTAATCCATTGAGCTACTCTGTGTCTTTTGATTGGAGAATTCAGTCCATTCACATTTAGAGTAATTATTGATATCTGGGGGCTTAATACTGCCATTTTATCTCTTGTTTTCTGGTTGTTCTATGTTTCCATCATTTCTCTTCCTTTGTATTTCTGACTGCCATTTCATTTTTGTGGTTTTATGAGGAGGATTTCTCAGTTTTCTCTCTTATTGTGATTTGTGGCTCTGCTCTGATTTTTTGTTTAGTGGTTACTGTGAGGATTGTATAAAAGATATTGGAGACGAGATAGACCATTTCCTCATAGCAACTTATCTCCATTAACCTAAGCAGGTTCCTTCCTTTTTGTCTCCCCTTCTGAGTAATTACTGTTACAAGTTGCTCTGTTTTTAATTTTGTGAGTTTGTGGCTAAGTTGAAGTGTTTATCATTACGTTTGGTGCTTTATTCCCCTTTCTTTTTAAAGCTGTAATTGAGTCTATGCCTGCCTAGTCTGGTAGAGAGCTGCAGGATTCTGATCATGTCTGTCTATTTATCTTCTTGCTCGGAACTTTGTAGACCTTTGCCTTTTTTGTTGCCAGTGTGAGGGCATCTTTAATTATTTCTTGTAGGGGAGGCCTAGTGGTGATGAACTCCCTCAGCTTTTGTTTATCTTGGAAAGTTTTTTTCTCCATCATATCTGAAGGAAAGTTTCACTGGATAGAGTATTCTTGGCTGAAAGTCTTTGTCTTTCAGTATTTTGAATGTGTCATTCCATTCTCTCCTAACCTGGAGGGTTTCTCCTGAGAAATTCACCAAAAGCCTGACAGGGTTTCCTTTGTAGGTTATTTTTTTCTGCCTTGTTGCACTTAAAATTTTTCTTTATCATTAACTTTTGCCATTTTTACTATTATATGCCTTGGAGAAGGTCTTTTAGCATGGATGAAGTTGGGCATTCGATTAGCTTCATTTATTGTAAATCCTAAACCATACCCACGTTTGGGAAGTTCTCTGCAATTATTTCTTTGAACAAGCTCTCTGCTCCTTTCTCCCTCGCTTCTCCCTCTGGAATACCTATAATCTTATGTTGATTTTCCTAATTTAGTTAGATATTTCTTGAAGAGTTCCTTCATTTTTTAAAATCTTAGTTCTGTCTCCTCCTCCACCTGTAGAATTTCTACATTTTTATCCTCTAGAAGACTAATTCTTTCCACCGTAAGATCCATTCTATCTCTAATGATTCTAGATGGTTTTTAATTTCATTAATTGTGTTTTTCATATCCAGGATTTCTGCTTGATTTTCTTTATAGTTTCAATCTCTTTGGTGAAGAGATTCATTTTATTGTGGAACTCCTTGAATTGTCTTTCCCTGTTTTCTTGTAAGTTGTTGAGTTTCCTCATGATGGCTATTTTGAATTCTCTGTCATTTAGATTGTAAATTTCTGTGTCTTCAGGGTTGGTTTCTGGAAAATTGTCATTTTCCTTCAGGTCTGAATTGTTGCTGCAGTTTCTCATGGTGCTTGATGAACTAACCTTTTGTCAGGGCATTTCTGGTATTCTTAGGATTCAGATTTCACCTGTTACTCCAGCGGGTAGCAGGAGCAGAGTTTCTGGCCTCACCCTGTCTGCTGGAGGCTGTGGGGGTATTAAGGGTACTTGCCCCAGCCTGGGATGTGTTCAGGCACTTGTGTGGGCTGTGCTTGGTGGACAGGGCTTCCTCGCTCAGACATGGACTAGGATCACTCCTTGGCATCTCAGGGGCCATATGGACTCCCCCTCCCCGAAGGCAAACCTGAGTGGGCTCAAGGCTGCCATGTCTTTTCCCACAGACACCTGGACACATTCCCTCTTTCAGGGCTCAGCAGCACTACGAATGCTTGCTTGGGGCCTGGGGAGTGCTTGCCTCAATGTGTAGATCTGCTGTGGTCTCTGTTTATGGTCCAGAGTGCTGCTGTACTTGGTGGGTGGGGCCTCTTCACTGGGACCTGGGCTAGGGCCACTCCTAGGCACCGCAGGGGCCCCTGTAGGCTCCCCCTCCCTACCAGGAAGGTAAACCCCAGTGGGTTCAAGGCTGCCACACCTCTTCCCACAGCTGCCCAGACACGTTGTCTCTTTCTGGGCTCAGCAGCACTGTGAGTGCTCACTCAGGCCTGGGGAGTGCTTGCCTGAGTGTGTAGATCTGCTGTGGTCTCTGTTTATAGTCTGCTGGACCACTGTGCTTGGCAGGCAGGGATTCCTCACTGGGACTCGGGCTAGGGCCGCTCCTAGGCAGCACAGGGGCGTGGTGGGCTCCCCCTCCTCACTGGGAGAGCAATAGAGATCACGAGTGTGGGCAACGGTTACCACTGCCTCCTCATACAGTTGCCCTGCTGCATGTCCCCACATTCGGGGCACTTGTGTGCCAGGCTGGAAAGCACACGTGTGGGTGCACAGGGCTACTTGGGGAGAGCAGGGTATGCTCACCTATCTCTGCCACTTCCTGGGAGGCCAGTCGCTCCATCCTCAGGTGTATAGCTGCATGTGTCTCTCAGGCATCTTGTTGTGCTGTGTGGACTTCCTCCGTTGGTCAGTGAATGTCCATTTAGTTGTAGTGCAAAAGGAGGAGAGAAAAGGGAACAGCTTACTCCACCATGTTGCTGACATCCTGAGCAGAATAAACCAATCTTTTTTTTTTTTTTTTTAAGATTTTATTTTATTCCTTTTTCTCCCCAAAGTCCCCTGGTACATAGTTGTATATTCTTAGTTGTGGGTCCTTCTAGTTGTGGCATGTGGGACGCTGCCTCAGCATGGCCCGACGAGCAGTGCCATGTCTGCGCCAGGATTGGAACCAACGAAACACTGGGCCACCTGCAGTGGAACGCATGAACTCAACCACTTGGCCATGGGCCGGCCCCAGAATAAACCAATCTTAATGGAGAAAAAACTGGGAAAAGCTATGCAGGATTTGAAATAGGCAGTATCCTTTACCCAGGACCTCCAGATCTAAAAATGTGTGTCTGAAGCTAACAATGGGTTTAACCAAATTTTAGTTGCAAGAAAGTCCCCAGTGACATTTTTTTTCTGAAGAAAGAGAAACTATAAATTTTCAGATGCCTTATGATCAATGGGAAAATATTAATGATATGTGTAACTACTATGTTGGGCAAATATTCATGGGGACTGTTACTGGTGATATGTTGAAAAGCTTGTCCTTTGTCTCATTTAAATTTATTCAAAAGAGTTACTTCTTTCCCTGACCCTATAGGAGAACTTTGGTATAGAACTTGACTTTTCTAGACACTGCACAAATTTAGAATATAAAAAGCCTAAGCCCATATAATAGTCAAAACACTATTCTTGAATTAAAACTGTGACTTCCCCCACACCTAGAAACTTGCAGTTGGGGAAGAGAGTGGTCAGCTTCCTTGCTCTTTCCTCTCCACCTGCAGCTGCCTAAGTGCCATTTTGGAGTAGAGGAGGGGGAAGAGACAAAGGGGTAAGGACAGCTCTTTTTGACAGGTAGTGTACATTTGTGCTGTCTGAGCTTAGTATTGCTTAAAGTTGACTCTGTCATGGGTGGTTTCGTGGGTTCTTTGAGTCTTCCCCCAACACCACCTGATGAAAGTTTCTCACCTGTGGTTCTCTTGTTATGGTTGAATCCATCTCCTTTCTGGCGGGCCTATTGTGACTCCTTTCTCAGCCCAGGCATCTTGCCACTCACTTTCTACTTCCTTCTGCTGAGGTCCCATGGCTTTTCCAGGCAACCTGCCTGGAATGAATCTGGCACATACCCATACTGGCTCTTTCTTTCATCCTTTGCCCCATCAAATTCCATAGTGCAAGCTGTAGCCTCCCTTGTGGCCATAGGTCACTTCAGACAGCCTCCTGCCCTTTCAAGTGTGACTCAGACACCTACCCATTGTGTCTCCATAAACTGTTGGAACACGTATAGAGCTCTATGGGAGGCATCCTTAAAGCCTTTCTATTGGCTTGGATTTAAGAGACTTGGAATTAAGGGAGCATAGCATTCTTTAAAGAAAATCTGCTCAAAAATTTCCTCCAAAAAATGTGTCAAATTCCTGACCATTTTCCACTTTTAAAATAAGCAAGGGTTTTAAGAGTCCCTTAACCACTTTTTGGCCATCTTTCTCTCTCTTTCTCTTTTTTTAAAGTCCTACCAATTGATTTTTCCCACAAACTCGCTTTAGGATTTATCCAAGGTTTTGGTCAAAACTTTCATTTTAATATCATGATACAAATTTTTTAATAAAAAGTCAAGATATATAACGGTAAGTCAAATATGATTTCAGTTTTATAAAAATAATTCATAGTTATATATATGCACATATAAAAGACAGAATAACATATACCAATATGGTGGGTTACTAGAAATATTTCATTGTCTTCTTTGTACTTTTTTATGTTTTAAGAATTTTGTAAGCTGAGTTTGAATTATCTTGCAATCAAGGGAAGGAAACACATTTTTTAAACAATGTTTTTCTGCAAAAGGAGGGCATGAAGTGTAAGATGAAGAGGTACCTTTCAGTAAAGCCAATGCTCAGCTTAGGCGTATGCCTATTGTTGGGTAGGTGGAGGGCAAGGAAGAATAACTAGAAGACAAAGTGTAAAGAAATTCTATAGGAACTTCTTCTTGCTTCACAACTCTCTTTATCTCTCTCGAATTCTAGCAGCAACTGGGAAAAAAATCCTAACAACATATATTCAGACACATATGGTCAGCATCATGAAGATTTGGACACCTCTAATTATGACATCCCTCTGTATGGTGCTACTGCCTGTGCTGGGAGGAATGAAGCAAAGGCCTAGCCGTAGGTGATGAGGCTGGGTTGGGGATCAAAGTGGGTGATAGGGCTGTGCTTGCTTCTGGATAAGTGAAGGGGTACCATGTCTGGCACATCTGACTCAGGATCTGCCTTCTCTGGATCACCTATTGGAGAATCAGATACTGTTTTATGAAAAGATCCAAGAAATTCTCAAGCTGAGGTCCTTTAATGGTACCTCTTCTGCCCTTGAAGGTAGCAATGAGTATCTGTAAACTTTTATATACATTCCATAAATTATAAGGATGTAATATTTTCCCATGTTAGGCTATCTTGCAGGGAGCACCAATACAGAGCTGTCATATCTTCCCATACTTCTGGAAGCTCTGTGTCCTAGCTATGTGTACTTTAATGAGTATCAAATAGGTATTTCTTAACATATACCTTTAGTTTTAGTGACAATATTTTTCAGAATGTTAAGAGATGGAAAATAGACATGAGATGGGTCCCTAGTAGGGAAAAGTTGGGGGACATATGATAAGAAAATGAAATCAGTGGAGGGGTCCAAGAAAATTGAGTGACAAAGACAAGAATTTGGAGAGAGGCTGAACTACTAAAGGCAAGATCAGCAAGGAAGAGAAAAAAAGGGAGAGAATCTGTTCCTTACTCTCCCTGGTCTAGCTTCCCATACTATGAAACAGTTGTGGTAATGAGGCTAGAGGGTATCTTAGGCCCTGAGAATGCCCATGCCATAAATGTAGATTTTATAGGAGGGCACATGAATACTGGGAGTATACTGAGTCCTACCTGTAGGATACTTGAGGAGGACCCAGAGGCCTGCAACACTGGTAGGACCTGGGGAGCAGAGAAGGCAAAGAGGTTAGTGAAGATGCAATGGGGTCAGTGAAAATGCCATGACTGGAATTTGGGGAGGCTTAGGAAGTCGATTTTCTTATAAGGTATCTATATACCTTGGTGGGGACTTGAGGTTGGGGTTCTAGGAGGGGCTGTTAAGCTTACGAAGGGCTTCCCTTTCCACACTTTTCTGTGTGGTCCCTGTCAGCCTCTTACCAACTCATCTCAATTTCAGTTGGTGATATGTTAACTGAAGAGTGCTGGGGAGAACCAACGATCCGTGAATGTAACAAGAGGTGTTCTAGAAGCTTTAAATGTATTGCCGTCAATCACACATGCTGCTGGACTTATTGTGGGAATATCTGCTGGGAGACAAAGTGAGTTGGGAGATGTATGCTAGGGCGTGTGTCTTCACCAATTGTCACCCTCTTCTCAGATGCTGTTATTCCTAAACAGATGACTGAGTACCCCCAAATCCTAGGCACAAAAATGGCAAAGGACAATGTCCTCTAAACCTGAAAAGCAATTCATTGGCAAATAAACCAAGACACCAGCTTGGGGCACGTTGCTTCTTTTATTGTATAAACAATGCCTGTGCTGTCGTCATTATATTACTCAATGGTTTGCTCTTTTCCTAGATTTTGTCCAGATTTCTAACCATTGCCTTCATGGTCAGACCTTTCCATGAACACTTTTGGCTCAGCTAGGCCCCAAATCTCTACCTTTCTCTGTTCAATAAACTGATAACCCCCTTACTCAGAAGTGGACAATTCCTGTATTTATGTCCCACGGTCTGGTGGGGATGGGAATATTAAGCTTGGGAATGAATGCTTTTTTCTAAGTGTTTCCCATTCTCTAAGCATCTAAACTTTTCCTCTTGCAGGATACCTCCTGAAGACAGATAAAACCCTAACCTCTCACCAGGACACCAGTCTATTCTCACTGAAGGTTGGGCAGGAGCAAATCCTTGACAAATAAACTCATTTACCAACAGTGGCCTTTGGCTTTTTTCCACTCCATTCTACTATACTTGATTGCCCTTAGTACAACCCCAATATTGCTCCCATCCTACTGGGCGCATAAGCTTCCAACTTGCTTCCCCATTAGATGACCTTAGAACTGAGAGGCTACTCTTATAGGCTTCACAGAAGAGAAGTTTACTTCTCAACTGCCACATTAATGTAGGTAATCGGCAAGCAGCCCCCTTTCATTCGGTTTTTCAGAGAGCAGGTCTCTGGTAAATTCGTTTCTCACAGGTATGGGTAAACAATTCCAAAACTATTTTACGTGTATACGAGATTGAACAAATTGGCAAATAACTGGTAGATGATAGGAGCCAGGTTTCTAACTGTCAGAGAAAAGAAGTTACAAAGGGAGAATACTAGAATGGCATAAAAGAACTTAAAAAATTGAATAAAAAGATAAAAGTCATCCTAGAAATAAAGATCGTCACAAGATACTCAAGACAGAATAAATTCAACTAAACTATAAGAGGCATTGAGAAAAATAATGAAAGAAGCCTGGAGACCAAAAGTGAAATGCAAAAAGTAGAAACAATAAGAGAGAAAAAGATTAATAAAGAAGACGGGCAAATAAAATCTAAATATATATAATAAATATGAAGAGTTTTTCCAAAAAAAGAAAAGAAAAGTAACTAATGTTAAAAACTACAATCGAAGAAAACTTTCCGTAAATAAAAGAAAACCTGAATCAATGTGAAAAAGATCCACCATATACCCAGCAACAGTGATCCAGAATATCCTCTGAAATCAGACGTTTGGTGCCCTCTAACACAAATTCTTACTTCAACCTTCTCACACCCTCACTAACGATTTTCAGGAAGTGGACCCTTCCCAAGCTAAGACACTGGACACTATATTAATTGACGGATGTACTCCTAGAAAATGTAATTTTAATGATATAATTTTTTACTTAGGAGCAACTTCCTTTGGATAAAACTTTCCTTGAATGCTACTTGCCATGCTCATTGTAATTATATTTGGGCTGATGGGCATTTCTTGGTGGTAGATATCGCACTCAGCACCTAAACCTACCACCTGCATTCCGGATAACTTTCTGTAGTTTCTTAATTAGATATCGTGGGTTTTTTAGAACACAGACAACTACCAGAGGTGGAGTAGGACAGACTTTGCTGGTGAAGGCATCTGAATGGACCCGGGAGCACTGGAGGCAGTCAAATGATGGAAATGAGGGAAGAGCTGACCGACAAGATGCTGTATGAGATAGGGAGGATACTTCTAAAGTCCTCCTATCTGCTTGGCATAGAAAGGGAACAGGTCTGGAGCAGTAGAAGAGAACAAAGCATGCAAAAGCAGTGGCAACCATGAGGATACATGTTTGGTTACAAACAGACCAGCCCTGATCTGCGATTCTCTGGGACTTGACACTTTGGAGTCCCAGATCATGGCAGAATTTGCATTTGCTTCTTCCTCTGCTTCCATGTGATGCATGGTCTTCCAGGGTTCCCCACTCCTCTACTCTACTTATTATGGAGACACACAGTTGTTGATTAAGACAGAACATGCAGTGATGTTCAGGCAAGCACTCCTTCCAGCCATAGCATTCTCGGTGTACTTTCTGAGTTCCCTGGGGCATGGTGGAGTGTCCAGAGAGAGTGAAGCCATCAGTTTTCACAAGGGAGAAAAGCAACTGCTTCCAGCAAAATTCATGGTCCACGGTGTTCATGCCAGTGGTAAGGAATAGGTCAGCCTGGTACCTATGGTATACCCGCATGATAGGGAGTACTGGACATGGACATGGGAGGTTATTTGTTATGTGGTCCCTGGCAGGTAACTTTGCCTCTCTTAAGAGTGTCTCTTAGGGTATTTGGGGCATGGCTAAGCACTGGGAAGAGGCTAGGAGAGTGAGGCTATCTGAGGAAGAACCAAGTAAGAGCTCTTGTAGAGCATTCCCTGACCACCACCTACCACCAATGACGTCTGTGTTGGTGGTTGATCATGATCTCTTTCCTAAGGCCCCCTTGTCCAAGGGCAGTTCTTAGCAGAAGTGGAGAAGATCCTCCAACACCAGGAGCCCTGTGATGCTTCTGAGGTGGGCCAGAGGCTCTGGCCTGATGGAGGCAGGTTTGCTCCTCCGATGTCTCCTTCACCGATGCCCAGCAGGAAGCACTGGACTGGAGTCTAATGCTGCACGCCTGCCTCAGCATGGCCTGTCTACCCAAGTTCTTCAGACTTGACTCCAGGTCCCGATTGGCCCCATGGGACCCAGTCCCTGGATCTAGTCCCAGGACCACTTCACAGGACTTGTGATGCACAGAGTAGTAGGGAGTCTGTACATCAGTGATTAATTTCCCCTGACTCACCATGAGACCATAGGCAAAATCCATAGCCTTCTTGTGCCAATTAATCCTTAGCGGCATCACCATGAACCACCTGTTCCCACACCCGTGGCTGCTCTATGGATTAAAAAGTAGAGAATGAGGCCATAAGGAGGAGGACTTGGGAGAGGTAGGGACCACTCAGTTAATGGAAGGCAGTGGAGTCTCAGAGCCTGCAGCCCATTCCAGGCTCCATCATAAGAGTGGCCATATTGGTAGAAGACGGAGTGGAGAAAGTTTGAGGTTAGCATAGTCTCTTGGTTAACATAGACTCTCACCTCCATGCCTACGGTCTCACCGTAACGGAGAAGAATCGAGAAACAGGGAGTCCAGAGGAAACATCCTCCTCTAACTGCATCATGACCTCTCAGTCTGTTTTGGCCTTGGGGCATGTCACTTCACTTTCCTGGGATTCATTTTCTTCATTGTAAAGAGACAGTAATCTGAACCTCAGAAGGAGAAGGAGTGGGGTGGGCCAAGGCTGGAAACATGAATGCAGTCCTTGGGGGCCTCCTACTCTGTGCCCCAGGGTCTAGCCTCCACCCAGCTCATGTTTAACTTGGCCCTTCTGACTCCAGGGTAAAAAATGTTCTCCTAGTATCAGGAGATGCCACACATGAGCACTTTCTCCCCCTGGGAGCACTGGTTCAGTAAGCAGAGCAACAAGGGTAGAGCCTCCAGGGGCCTGGCCAGGGTGCGTGGGCCAAAGGGAGAGAGAGGAGAGAAGCATGACAAGGGGAGAGAGATCAGAGACAGGGACCCAGAAAGGCATGGGGACCCTGGGGCTGCACTCTGTTCTCAATGATCATAAGCACTGGGAGTAAAACACACAGGTCCTTGGGCGTTTGTTCTGGTTTATTTGACAGGAACAAGTAGTTCAGACAGTGGGGGCGGGGGTGCACTCCTGTTGACATCCTTGTGCTTTGGTCGCAGGCACAGTCTCTGACAGAGGGTTGAGGGAGCAGGAGGCACAGCCCAGCCCACTCTCCCACTCACAGGATGTTCATGCAAATATTCCTGCAGAAGGTTGAACAGCATATGTTATTTGCCTGACACTCTTTGTCATATGCACACGGGCGTCTGCACATATGTATGTTGACGGGTTTCTCACAGATCTTGATTTCTCGTGGTAGCTGTGTTTCTGAAACAGAGTAAGAGCAAGGTCAGTGGAACCAGGCCCCTAGAGAGCACCTCTCTCAAGCTTAAAGCCTCCTCCGAGACCCCAGAACCCAGGTCCCACTCATGGCATTCTTGGACTTTTCAGGGAACTCACTTTCTGGCCCTCAGCAAATCCTGGTGATTGGTAGTATCTTCAATCCTATTCTCCCCATTCTCCCCAACAGATCTCAATGCCTGGGCTTCCTGGACCCTCCCCATCCTCCTGCACCAAGACCTGTCTCCCACATTAGTCACGGCCGCAGAATCTACACTCTGACCCCGAGAACTCAATGAAGTCTGAGACATCTTGCAAACCACCCTCCACTCTCCAGAATCTGCAGGGTCCAGAGAAAAAGAGGAAGTTACTTCCTCTCCTCACTGTCACTCCACTACCCCTGCCCCTTCCCAGAAAATACCACTTTCAATATTTCCCTTCCACTGCCACCATCCTAGTCCCTCTGATGATAACTTTAAATTGACCCTGTATACCCCAAAGTTTGCTTTCCCAACATCCTTTTATTCTACACCTACTCCCGTAAACGTCTCTGGATGTTCACTGGTTACGTATAAATCCAAGAACAGTTATTTTGTTTTCCCATCTGACTCAGCCCCCGTGTAACTTTCATTATTGTGTGTACCATTTGTCTCTGGATGTTCAGAATGGAGAATAAAAAGACGTATGTCCCCCTCCCCCATCACTATTCCCAGAGCTGAGGAAAGGGGCTGGAGGGCCACGGTTTGGGAGGACCCAGAGTCCTCACAGTGCTGTGGTCAGCGCAGGATATGCTGAAAGGTTCTAATTTCCAGGTCCTCCTTAGACTGGACACGGCCCCTCCTGCCTCCTCCCCATCCCCGTCCCTCAGTCCATCACCTACGCTGCATCTCCTTCTTTGTGGATCTTCTTTTACGGACCCCTCCCTGGGCCTGCAGCAGCAGCACACAGAGAAGCAGGAGGGGCAGCAGGGCCTGGGTTGGCATGACTCTGCAGAGCAGTGAGCTCTAAGTCTGGCACAGATTTCCCTGGAGAGCTGGGGGTGGCGAGGGAAGGAAAGAAAGAACAGGTTATCCTGGGCTCCTCCCTGCCTCTGCTGGCCAAGCCAGGGAGTCCTCGTGTCCTCCCTTCGCCTGCCCCCTGCCGTGGCCTGCTGTGTGGACTTGGGCTTCTGCAGAGATGACTCCTCCTCTCACATAACTAAGCCTCCCCTTTGCAAACAGAATATTTTCCTGAAAGATGTAATCTATTTCTACTTTCAAATACAAAATAATTTACAGAAAAAAGAAAAGAGAGAAATGTAATTTTAAAAAATTATGATAATCTTATCGCATAGAATTAACCTGTGTCTCATTGTGTTATCTTTCTAGTTTCTTTGCATATTTAATGTAATCAATCTTTTATTTTCTCACATTTTGGTTCACCCACCTTTTGTTACCCATCTTGTTCCACCCTCATGTAAATACTTTAGAAAACATGGGTTTCCATAATTGCACGGCTCTCACAGTAAATGCCTATTGTCAAGCATTTGTGTTGTACTAGTTATTGATTATCTAGACAATATCATCTTGAGCATTTTTACTCATAAATCCTTGATTTTTTTAAAACTAAAGTAAGAGAGGTGGAATTTGTGGGTGAGAGAGTAAGTAGGTATTTTAAGTATAAATAAATAAATAAGCAAACATACATACATGTATAGATATATATATAGAGAGAGAGAATTTGTTTTTCTTTTTTTTCTTTTGAGTTCATAATAGTTTACATCATTGTGAAATTTCAGTTGTAAATTATTTCCTCTCTATCACCACATAAGTGCTCCCCTTCACCTCCTGTGCCCACCCCCATGCCCTTCCCCTGGTAAGCACTGAACTGTTTTCTTTGTCTGTGTGTTTGTTTATATTCCACATATGAGTGAAATCACATGGTGTTTGTCTTTCTCAGTCTGGCTTATTTTGCTTAGCATAATACCCTCTAGATCCATCCATGTTGTTGCAAATGAGATGATTTTGTCTTTTTTTATGGCTGAGTAGTATTCCATTGTATATATACACCACGTCTTCTTTATCCAATCATCAGTCGATGGGCACTTGGATTGTTTCCATGTCTTGGCTGTTGTGAATAGTGCTGCAACGAACGTCGGGTTACAGATGTTACTTTGGATTGTTGGTTTCAAGTTATTTGGGTAGATACCCAGTAGTGGGATAGCTGGGTCATATGGTAGTTCTATTTTTAGTTTATTGAGGAATCTCCGTACTGTTTTCATAGTGGCTGCACCAATTTGCATTCCCACCAGCAGTATATGAGGGTTCCCTTTTCTCCACAAACTCTCCAACATTTGTTGTTTTTTATCTTAGTAATTATAGCCATTCTGGCTGGTATAAGATGGTATCTCATTGTAGTTTTGACTTGCATTTTCCTAATAATTAGTGATGTTGAGCATGTTTTCATGTGTCTGTTGGCCATCTGTATGTCTTCCTTGGAAAAATGTCTCTTCATATCCTCTGGCCATTTTTCGATCGGGTTTTTTGGGGTTTTTTTTGTTCTTGAGTTGTTTGAGTTCTTTATATATTTCGGAGATAAACCTCTTGTCTGATAAATGATTTGCAAATATTTTCTACCAGTTGGTGGGTTGTCTTTCTGTTTTGTTCATAGTTTCCTTTGCTTTGCAGAAGCTTTTTAGTCTGAGGTAGCCCCATTTGTTAACTTTTTCTTTTGTTTCCCTTATCCAAGTAGACACGGTATTCGAAAAGATGTGGCTAAGACCAATGTCAAAGAGCGTACTGCCTATATTTTCTTCTGGGAGTTTTATGGTTTCAGGTCTTACATTCAAATCTTTAATCCATTTTGAGTTAATTTTTTGTGTAGGGTGCAAAATAATGGTCTACTTTCATTCTTTTATGTGTAGCTGTCTAGTTTTCCCAACACCATTTATTGAAGAGACTTTCCTTTCTCCATTGTATGTTCTTGGCTCCTTTGTCAAAGATTAACTGTCTGTAGATGTGTGGTTTTATTTCTGGGCTTTGAATTCTGATCCATTGATCTCTTTGTCTGTTTTTGTGCCAGTATTGTGCTGTTTTGATTACTATAGCTTTGTAGTATGTTTTGAAGTCAGGGATTGTGATGCCTCTGGCTTTGTTTTTTTTTTCTCAGGATTGCTTTGGCTATTTGGGGTCTTTTGTTGTTCCATATAAATTTTTAGATTCTTTGTTCTATTTCTGTAAAGAATGTCATTGGGATTTTGGATGGGGTTGAACTGAATCTGTAGATTGCTTTAGGTAGTATGGACATTTTAACTATGTTTATTCTTCTGACCCATGAACATGGAATATCTTTCCATTTCTTTATGTCTTCTTCAGTTTCTTTCAATAATGTCTTACAGTTTTCAGTGTTCAGGTCTTTCACCTCAGGAATTCATTTTTGAAATAAACCTGCTTAACTCAATGGAGGATGAGTGTCAATTTCCTCAAATCCTGTAAGACACTACAGTGTAAATGGGGAGATACTGGGCAGGAATCAGCCCCTAATTTTCTATTAGAAGTTGGATAGGAAAGGAAAGTTCATAGGTTTTCATAGGTTCACAGGTTGCTCAGGCAAATGTGGAGTTGAATCCTGACTCTAATATTCGCCAGCTGTGTAACCCTAGGAAAATCCTATAATCTCTACAGACTCAGTGTACCCATATTTTCTTGGCACCTCAGCTGTGAGGATGAAATAAGATGACATATATAAACACCTTCAAGGTACCTGGCACACATTAGGTGCTCACATAGGCCATTTGTCTTCCTCCCAATTTACTTCTCAAGCACACATAGCAGGCTCCAGGGATCAGAGGAACTCTTTTATCTTGTAGTCTAAGTTGGATATTAAGACCCAGCCCTGGAAGAGGAATCTAGAAAGGAAAACTTTTTGGGCTGAGAATCAGGAGACTGTGCTTATCCAAGCTGATCCATTGACTCTGTGTGAATTCGTGGCATAGCCATGAGTAGATATAGGAGCTCAGAAAGCACCCATTCCAAATACTGGCCATGAACTGTCTCTGCTCTCTTAAAGAAAAGAAAATGTGGAGAAGTTGTTTTGGTTTCATGGAGCGAGGAGGTGAGCTCTGATCAGGGAACTCTTCCTAGTCTATGAGGCTAAGAGTCAGTTACTCTACTTCATCCTTCAACTTAAATTATTTCTTCCTGTCAACAGCTTCCACCACCTACTCCCTTGAGGGACCTCTCAGCCCTTTCCTTTCTCCTCCTTTCTCATCCTCCTCGTCTTTTTTACTTGTTCATTCTCGTGTCTCTGGGAAGATCTCCACAAACTGCTTCCTATTTCAACATTTTCTGGGTGGATAGTTTTACCCAAAGACACACAATCCTCACCCTCTAACTTGAGGTCAACTGTATAGTCTTCCTTATCCAAAAATGATTCCTGAGTGATTCTTAAATTTTCATTGCTAGCCATTTTTTCTGTGGAGATTGGATCCCTTTAAAAATTCAAATTCCATATGACCTCAGTATCGCAGAATTAAAAACAAAAACAATTTAAGCTCATAGATACAGAAAACAGATTGTGGTTGCCAGAGGTGGGGGCGGGGCCTAAGTGAAATGGATGAAGGGAGTTAAAAAGGTAGAAACTTCCAGTTATAAAATAAATAAGTCCTGGGGATGTAATGTACAACATGATGGCTATGGTTAATAATACTTTATTGCACATTTGAAAGTTGCTAAGAGAGCAGATCTTAAAAGTTCTCATCACAAGAAAAAAAATTGTAACTATGTGTGGTGATTGACGTTAACTAGACTTATTGTGGTGATCCTTTCACAATATATACAAATATCGAATCAATATGTTGTACAACTAAAACTAATATGTCAATTATATCTCAATAAAAAATGCAAATACTTGTGGAGTAAGCAATTACTAGGACTTATGGAGAGCTCAGGAATGGAAACTATGAAAGCAGACACCAACAACATAATCTTACAGTGTTAGGAGAAAACAGATACATTATAGATCAAAGAAATACATTGTGTGTGTTATATATATGGATAATATATATGTGTGTACATATATAAAATAAATGTGTGTGTATATGTATAGGTATGTGTGTGTGTGTGTATATATATATATATATGTATATGAAGAGAGGGAGAGCTGTTGTCTTAAATTCTGCACAGCTTTCTGCAGACCCATTGGCATGATCCAGAACCAAGATGGGCAAGAATCCTAGGAGGAACCTCCTTGGCACTCATCAGTGACTGTGCACCTCAAATAGATCATTAAGGATCCCCAACATCTGGGCCAGATACAGAGCACGGGGCTGTGACTGGCCTGCATGGAACATCATTTTCCTGCCGTATAAAGCAACGTCCTGGGAATCCGTAATTCAATCATTCTAGGTTTGGCACCATTTGCAGTCCCCATCAAAGTTCCCTTCAGTTTGCTCCCACACCTACATATCCAGGTCTCCAAATTCTGTCTTTTGTCTTTGTACTGGTCCACCCTTCTCAGCCAAGCCCCTGGGATCCTGGCATATATTTCCTGCTGCTTGATGCACCCAACATATCTTGGGAAAAGCATTCATACGTGGACATCTCCCATCATTGTATAAATATTCCTGTAGACAAGGTTTGGGAGAAGGATGTTTGCTCCTTTGGAGGCCTGGCCCTCGCCCTCTTGACTCTACTTTTTTATAATGAGTCCCAAGTCGTGTGTATGTGTGCCCAATATAATGCTGCCCTCTGGTCATTGGTGAACAAATCTCCCCACTCCTCAACTCACAAACCCACACTGAGTTCTTGGTGTTCCTTTTGATCCCTTCACTTCCTTCATTTGCTTGGTGGGCATCTATCTTTTCTAAAGTCCTTCCTATTCAGTCTTTTTTTTTTATTCACATAAAAGTCACAGCGCCTTTGGGGGGGAGATGATGTTATGCTTTAATTAGCAAAAGAGAATCAATACAGGGAAGGGTGGGACCTTAAATAGCGCACACAAGTTAAAGGAAGATACATATCACACTGTCCTTCAGTGCCTCCCTATGGATGGACTCAGATACATCAAATAAAGACCCTAGACTTAGGTCTGTTGGGGGTGGCCAGAGCTGCCACCCAGGTACGCAATGTTCCTCCTAGCTTAGCAGGAGATACTGCTCACATCAAAGAAAATCCACTACTTCTGTATCAGTAAGTATCAAAGGAAAGAGTCTCTGATATGGCCAACATGTAGTTCCTGAGTGGAACTTAAAGATCTGCCACAGCCAAAATCCCCATTAAGTTCCAGGCCTTTGAACTTTGTTTTTCTGCTGTTCTGCCCCCTATTCCAGGCCAAACCGCCCCTCCAACTCCCCAGGTGAGAGGAGGCCAGATAAAAGGCCTATCAGCCGGTTACTGCAGACACTCAACTCAGACACATTCAGAGGTATGTGGGGGTAAAGGTCTTGAGGCATGAGCTTTTATTTGTGGCTTGCTTGGATGAATTCCCTGCCGAGGTGACGTCAACACTATTCCTGTGAGGTGGGGATTATTTTCTCTCTTGTTCAAATAAGAAAGTTGAGAAAGAGGTGACATGAGCTGTCTGAGGTCCCATAAGTAAAAGGGGCAGAGATGAAACAAGATTTCAGCATTCCTGACTCTAAGTCCAGTATTCTCCCTTCTTTGACATTATCTAGAAAGCCCAGGATCCTGAATTTTGGGGGGAGCAGTAGTTCTGTGTCTTTTGATGCCTAGGGACCTTCTCATTGTCCTACACTCAATCTCAGGATGGCCTAAGAATTCACCCAGAACTCAATATATGAATAGGATCCAGCCTGGGCATGATAATCTTCCTCTTCTCTGGGACCCTTTAGTACACCTGAGGTGTGCAAAGAAGGGCACTGGGCACCCCCAGGATCTTGAACACCCTTTAAGGTAAGTAAGGAACTCAGAAAATTGGACTAAGACTGAAGCCTTTTAAATTAACAGATCTCAAAGCTCTGGGAAACTTGGGTGTAGAAAGATATCTTTGAATACGAATAAACAGGTTCATAGAACCCATTGCCTTGGATTTACTGTGTTTCTGTCACTGTGTGCCAGTCTTCCTCCTTCTTTGTGCAAAAGGCAGGAGCCAGGAATCCAGAGGCCATCCCAACCCTTGCCTTCCTTAACTCAGTTACCTCATATCTCTTATCCCCACCTTTAAGTGGCTAAGAGGCATCTGCTTTGCACATCTGTCTTGCTATGTGCTGGTACCTTCAAAGGATCAGAACACTCTGAGTCAGGCTCAAGGACTGTGTATCATGCCACTGCCAGCTGGCTTCCCTGTGCAAAAAATGTGAGTGATTCATAGGATTTCTGGAAGCATACTATACTCAAAGAGAGTTCTCCTTTGGCCTGAAGCCTCACCATTCATCTTGCATCCTTTGATGGAGATATTGCTCAACGGTAAGTGAAATCTCAACACGTTAACCTGGCAATTTTCCTTCATCAAGCCATACTGAGGTAAGCTGGCAGGGACGTGGATTCTGAATGGGGAAGGTCGGAGAGCAGATATAAGCATCTAAGAATGGAAGCTCCCCAAACAGCTGATCTTTTACATTTTAAGGATGTCTCTCTTCCTTTTCTTTCTTGTCTTTCCCAAGTCATTTAAGTCCAATTTGCCTCAAAGTCAATGCATCAGTGATTCACGTGCCTAATGCTTGCATTTTTCCAAATTTCATGTATTTTGAGAGGAGGATGAGTTTTCAAAGTCCCCTTTGAAAAAATTTTCATCTTTTAAATGCTCTCTAGTGTTACACTTGCTTTTGAGCAGAGGAATTTCGGTTGATTCATCTAGAGCAGCGTTGTTCAGTAGAACTTTCCGTGATGATGGAAATGTTCTATGTCTAAGCTGTCCAATATAATGGCCACTAGCTCCATGTGGCTATTGAATGCTTGAAATGACTGGAGACTGAATTTTAGTTTAATTAATTTAAATAGTCGCATGTGGCTAGTGGTTACCATACTGGACAGTGCAGTGGAGTCTTCTGCTTGTTGAAAGCTTCTGAACAAATATACTTTCAGGGAGAGGGGCAATCACTACCTTCTTACTGTGTAACTCATAACATCAGAATTTTACCCTTCTCTTGGACTCTTTTATTTTCCTTCCTATTTGGTTTCAGGAGAGTAAAGCAACAGATAAAGGATGAGGGGGACAGATGGAGGAGAGTTTGGAATTTTGAATGGTAATTAGGGCTCCTCCGCCTATGCCCCAACTCCCTGATCCCCTCAGCTGCTAGTTGTCAGCAGGCTATTTCATCTTCTTCTGCTTTGTTGTTTTCTCCTTAACACTTACTACCATCTATGTATTTCCATATTATCTTATGTAACTCGCATGTCAGCTCTATGAATGTAAGGACTTTGGTCTGTTTTGTTCACCACTATATTCCAGTGCCTAGAACTTGGAATGTAGTTAGGCATTTAATCAGCACTTATTACATGAATGAACTCCCCCTCCACTCACACAGGCATAAATTCTAGACAGATTAAAATCTTAAGTGTAAAAAAAACGAAAAAATGGAAATGAAGGTGGTTTTCAAACATCTAGAGGAGGAAGGAAATTCTGCACTTAGTACTGATAGCTAACATTTATGAGTGTACGCTATGTTTCAGGCCCTTTGCTTAGTGCTCCATACACATCAGAGTATTTAACCCTCCCAGTAACCCTACGAGATGAATATTGATATTATTTCTATAATGCAGATGAAGAAACTGAGGCTCTGGGAATTACATGATTGGCCTGGTTTCCACAGCTAAAAGTTGGTGGGGTTAGGATTCTAGCTCAAAACTATTTGACTCTGGTGTGTATGTTCTTTCCTCTCTAAAATACTAAACAGCAAACAGTATGATGACAGAAATGACCTTTGTATTGCCTAGAGAAGGACGGGAGGTGGGGAAACATAACCCTAATGTCCTGTTAATGGGAGTCTAACCCACCCCTCAGAGAGAAAAACATGGCACCAATTATCCAAAGCCTGAAATAGAGAACACATTTTGCCCAGCAATCTTTCTCTACTAACTCATACTACAAAAACAATAATATATGTGCCAAAGCTTTGACTATAAGGAGGTTCATCAGGAGATTTTTATTACAATAAAAAATTGGAAATATTCAAGTCTTCATGATCTGGGGAATGATGTCATATTTACAATTGGATTGTTGGCCTAACTTGTATGATGTGATTGCATTTTTTTGCTTCCTCTCTTCTGTATACTTTATTCAGAATGACTAGTTATTTCCTTGCTTCTTCAGGAAAACTTAGATAGGTCCCCACAAATTTTGTGTGACTCTTCAGTCGTAAAACATCTTCTCACCTTGATAATTAAACTGTGTAGGCCCATGTAATTAGCAACAACTCAATAAATTGTTTAGAATAGTGGACTCTTCTTTCCCTCAGAAGCTCCAGTTATGGAAGATGATGTGGTCAACATGTCTCTCTTGGGCTCTTTGTGATTCTCTTCCTCCACCTCCACATGGCTAAAAAAACCCCTTTCTGGTGCCTGGGTAGTGGAGGGAAGCAGGACCAACAAGAGGGAGTAGGAGAGTTCTTACACAATAGATAATATCAGAAGCTGGCATTGTGCTTCTGGTCCTCTTTCATGGGAGATTTCCAGGGTTCATTGGAAACACAAAACAGCATCTGGCCATTTACAAATCACGTATTTCCAAACTGCAGCCCACTTGTCTGCCAACTACAGGCCACTTTAGCCAGATTCCCTACCCTTTAGAGTCTTCAGTCATGACTCAAGTATACAGTGTCCCCACAAACTTCTGGGGACACACAGTCAGCTCTGAGTAGCATCCACAAAGCCTTTTCTCTCAACTTGGAATTAGAAAGCAGCATCCTTGCTTCCCCAAACAAAGCTTTTTACTGATAAAATCTCCTTCAAAATCCTTTCTACGACTCCTTCAACTTTGGATTGTCTACATTGGTGAAAGTTTTGAGTCTCCTGGCCATTTCTTGGTCATCATCTTTTCTCAAGTCCTGCTGAGTAGTCCATCTTATAACTCACTCTGCAATCACTCTGGTACTCTCTCTTAGGGTCTTAACTAAAACTTCCATTATATCATCCTATTACATATATTCTTAAATGAAAATTCAGGGCACTTAATGTGTTCTATTTTTACAATTTCATAAAAATAATGACCACAACATAATAAGATACACATATACTGGTTATCTCTGGGTGGTGGAATTATTAATGCTTATCCATTTCCTCTTTGTATTTTTTATTGTTGTTTTACAAATTATACAATCTGAAGATTTATTGCTTTTTAATCAGAAAAAAAGCAATGCATTTTTAAAAGAAACAATTTTGCAAAGGAAGGGGTCTGCAATGTGAGATGAGGAAGAAGCCTGGGGAAGCCAATGGTTAGCTTGATGTATTGTTAGGTGCCAGAAGGTGAAAAGAAAAGTAGGAGAAAGAATAACACAGTATTCACTAGCCCTTTTTCTCTCTTTCCTACTCTCTTCTCCTTAATTCCTTGTCTTCCCCTAGCAGCATTGGGAGAAGATCTGTCTTCTGCCAGAACTTAACCCAAACACACATAGAGACTACCATGAAGCCCTGGGTTCGCCTATTCGTCATGCTCAGCTGTTGGGTTGTGATGCTCCTGTCTGTGCTGGGAAGCTTCAGGAACAAACCTCCCTGTAGGCTGTGTGGCAAGGGAGGTGGGTGCTCTGTCCAGACCTGGGATGTCTAGCATAATCCACTCAGGGTCCACATTTTCAGGATTATTCTTTGAAGGATAAGAACGCTCCTTGAAGCAGAGACATCCAGGAAGATTAGGTTGGATGTTCCCAAGCTGGCATCCCTTCAGCCTCCCTCTCCCAGCTCTGGAAGCAATAACAGGTATAAGAAAAGGGATTGTAGCTTTTGTCCACATTCCATAAGCTAGCAAGAAATAATATTTTCCAGTGTCAGACCACCCTGGGTAGAGGAAACATCGCCACAGTTTCCCTCTGAGCCCATCTTTTCAGAATCTCTGTGCTTTATCTGAATGAGCTTTTGATGAGTACCAAAAGGGTAATATTTTGACACATTGATTTAGTTTGAAGGGAAGAGTCTTTTAGAACATGAAAAAATGGACAAGACAAATAAAGGGTCTTTATGAGTCAAAATTTGGCATCATAAGATAAGAAAATGAGGACAATGAAGGGACTGAGAGGGCAAGTTGTGGGCCAGTGAAAGATATGGACTCCAGGGAGAGGCTGAGTGCTTGAGCGGGATCAGCAGGTTCCTATTCTCCCCCGGCTCAGTTTTCCATTTTGCGAATTGGGTATGGAAATTGCAGCCAGAGGATACACAGGCTGTGAAATTTAAAGTTATACGAGAATAGATTTGGTGAGGTGGTATCATATGTGGGGAGGGTGTCCTAGGTCCTCTCTTCAGAGAGCGCGGAGAAGGTCAAAGGTCTGCGATGCTGTGGGGACATGTAGAGAGACGAAAGGCGTGTCATGCAAGGATCATGTCCTGTGAAAAGACATGGGCTAGAATTCGAGGAAGGGATTTTCTTGAAAGGCAGAGAAATACTTTGTGGCTTGGAGCTCAGGTTCTAGAGCTCAGGGATTGTTAAGCTTTAGAAAGGTTTCTTCTCCAAGTTGTGGGTGGATGGACCCTGCCAACTTCTACCACCTCAGTTCTAGGTGAAAGAAGAGAAAGTGAGCAGTGCTGGGTACAGCCTCCATTAAAGTATTGTGGAAAAAGGTGCACTAAATTGCAGGGATGTTTACGTCCAAATCATACATGTTGCTGGACCTTCTGTGGAAACATCTGCTTGGACAATGAGTGAGTGGTTGGTGGGAAGGTTGGGCCTAGGCATGCTTCCCCACTGCTTCTCACCTTCGTTTGGAAGCTGTGACTTGGAACAAAAGATTGCAGTCACCCAAACCCTGGTCAAAGAAACAGGCAGCTTAAGGCAATGCTCTCCTGTCTCCACACACCTAGGCTGCCACTCACTGCAAAATAAACCAAGATACCAACATGGTGGGGCCTCTATTTTTTTTCACTCTTATTCAGTTCCCCTAAAACATCACCCATCAATTTGTTCATCCATTCTTCGTCTAAGACCCCAATTGGTGCCTCCTGAGTCTGGCCTCTCCATTGGCCCCTTGTCTCAGTCAGGCCCAAGGGGACACCGTCTCTGCCTGTCTGCTCAATTGGCAAATCTCTTGGGAGAAATTACTTAAAAATGAGCAAATCCTGATCTTACAGGAAAAATTCTCATTCCCATTAACTGGGGCCAAGAGTGCTATTAAGTTTGAGGATGGATATCTCCCAGGGTTCCCCGACTTTTAACCATTTAACTTTTGTTTTCCAGAGAACCCTTTAAATCCATGCTAAATCCACACTAAAATAGCTGGGCCACCACTAGTGTGGGCTGGAGCACGACTCTGGTCTGAGAAGAGCGCTGCCTGGCTCCCTGTGGGGATACCCACCTGCTCCAGGGGAGGACCTCTCTGTTCTCTCCTTGACCTCTCCACCCTGAGAAGACTCAAGTCTTTGCCAAATAAACCGATACACTGACTTGAGGGCTTTGCATTTTTTTGTACTCCGTGCCTGTGACTCCATTTCTCTCACAGTTGTTCCCATCCCACCATCAGCACAGACACCCAACTCTGCCTTCCCAGTTAGTCAGGTAGGCCCATGGCTATAGCAAAAATACACAGACTTATAAAAATCTCATGGGGTTAACACAGTACAAGTTTATCCTTATTCACAACACATTTCACTGAGGGAGGTCAGTGAGCAGGCACCCATGCCATGATTCAAGGACCCTGGTTCCTTCCATCTATAGCTCCATCATCTCCCAGAGCCTCCTATGTATCTAGCCAGCATATGAGAAGAAAGGGAGCATGGAGGCTCATACAAAAGGTTTTTAAGGGCTGGGTCTAGAAGTAGAGTTCATTATTTCTACCCACATTCTATTTGCCATAATGTAGTTATATGGTCCCATTTATTTGCAAGAGAGATAAGGAAATACAATCTAGCTGTATGCCCAAGAAGAACATAAAAAGGGATTTGGTGAGCATATGGCAGTCTCTGACCTGTCTACTTATGCAAAGCCAAACTTCTCAACCAAGACCCAAGACCTTGGCCTCCCTCCATGTCACTCTGTCCAATGGAACAAGCACCCTCCTGGTAAGAATTTAGCATCTCCAGTCATTAGAGAAAGCTTTCCTGCCCTCAGGGTGGGTACTCTGAACTTCCAGAATGATTCCTCCTTCTGCTATCCTCAGTATCCTCTTATTCCTGCCAGGTCAGTTCTGTCTGCCTGGCAGTTTTACCTGGATAACATTACTCATATCCTGAGGTTTCAGGTAATGCAAGGCAGGTTTCCTACTCGTGTAGTTTCCCTAATTATATCTGAATTTCTACCATTTGTCATTAGTATCTTGAAATTTATTTAAAAAATATATCTTCCCCCAGATGAAGAGATTATAGACTACCTACTATGTATCTAGGCTTGTGCCTCTTCCTCGCCCAGAGGACAAGATATTCTCACTTGGATGGATGAGTCAGCACATCACACTTACCAACTGGATAGCCCAAGGAAAGGCTTTGGAATGTGATGCAGCAAAGACCAAGGCCAGGCAAGGGACTAAGGCCTAACAGAACACTGGCCACTGTCCTAGCGCTCAGAGCAATGAGAAGGGACAATGGCCCAGGGGCTCAGTAAACGTCCCTCAGGAGTGGGACTTTGTACTGACCTTCAGGTATAGGAAGGACTTGGAGCTCTTTTGAGTGAAAGTGGTTATTTCTTCCTGACAAAAAAAGTAAAGAAGAAAAAACGTTAGGAACCCCCACAGGAAGGACTAGGGGAGGAAAGGGTTGTCCTCTGGGGTATCCTTGATATTGTGAGGGAGGAAAAACAATTTCTCCTCTACCCTTCTAGGTTTTGGCTGAGATCATTGCCCCCTGCAATAAAAGACAGATTAGCAGGAGAAAAACAAACAGGAGTTTAACAACATTTATTCTTCCTGTGTACGTGGGAGATAACCAGGAAAACTGAGTAACTCCCTGAAATGTCCAAGTCCTCACCTAAGTACCATCTTCAGCTGGAGATAAAAAATGTTGGGGGGCCAGCCCCATGGCCTAGTGGTTAAGTTTGGCATGCTCTGCTCTGGCAGCCCAGGTTCATGGCTTCCGTTCCCAGGTGCAGACCTACATCACTCATCAGCCATGCTGTGGCAGCAACTCACATGTAAAATAGAAGAAGATTGGCACAGACGTTAGCTTAGAGCTAATCTTCCTCAGCAAAAAAAAAGAAAAAAAAAAGATGTTGGGGGAAGGGAAAGGTCATTTATGGGAGGTTACTCTGAAAGGCACAGTAACAAGGGTAAGGTTGTTATGCAGTTTTAAGTTATTGCCTTCTCCAGTGACAAAGAGTTTCTAGAGATTTAGAGTCATCCTTCTCTTCCTGGTACAGAGAAGAGGACACCCTTACAAATGGAGATTTCCCTTATAAATGTAAATGTCTCTTACAAAAGAGTAACTTTTGCTCAGTTTTCAGAGCTTCTCCTGTGTCTGCACCTTCTTAAAAATAACCAGGCTAGAATAGTCCTTATGCCAAAGAGGTGTATTTTGGGATGACAAATTCTGCTCCCCTTCAATATCGTTTCTCATTCATGCCTTCATCTGCCAAGTCTGGGTCATGAGAGGTGGAAGGGAGAGATGTTGCTTGGCCAATATTAACAAAAGAATAATTGCCACGGATAAGTGGAAGGGCACCAAAGGGGTCAGTAAAATGTGGACACACAGGGCCCGTGGCCTAGTGGTTAAGTTCAGCGCGCTCCACTTCAGTGGCCCAGGTTTCGTTCCCAGGCATGGACCTATGCTGTGGCGGCAACCCACATACTGAAAAAAAAAAAAAAAAGAAAAGAGGAAGATTGGCACAGATGTTAGATCAGGGCAAATCTTCCTCAGGCAAAAAAAAGAAGGTTGGCAACAGATGTTAGCTCAGGGTGAATCTTCCTCAGCAAAAAAAAAAGAAAAAGAAAAAAGAAAAGTGGACACACAGACAGCACTGCCCTTCTGCCAGACACATAGAGACAGAACACAAGGGTTATGGATTGTGTAGACTGAGCATCACTGAACTTTCATCTGTGCCACCCACTGAAGAAGATATGAAGCCCATATTGTCCTTCCTTGTCATGGTGGTTAATGTTAAGCCTAACCTGAAGGATGGGCTGTGGAGAGAACACCAACATCTTTGTTACTGACACTGAAGTGGTAGTAAATGCTGAGATTATCACCTGTTAGCATAACCCATCACTTTTGCCCAGCGGCACCAAGTGTATATGTCAATGAGTTACCGTAGAAGACACTCTTGGTACTCTGATCAGACACCCATCTTTCAGCTCCTGCTAGTGCTGTGGTTAACGGTGTACACCTGCAACCTTCCCCAGCTAATTCCTCTCAGTTGCTGGGAGTCGCCTCAGCTAGATATGCCTGCCTCTTGGGGTGATGGAGCCTACTACAGGGATACAGAGCCTGACTCCTTTGCCTCCAGGTGGGACAACTCTGTAGAGAGATATACACTCTAGAGCTTTGTCTGAGGCCGAAGGTGGACTTTACCTGAGATCGCATCCTTGCTCAGTCCCTGCCATAGTCTGCTTCCCTCACTCCCTTAGACATTTTCGCTGAAGGGCATTACCTTGTGAAGGGCACTCCCTCACACGCACCTGAGATCCTGTCTCAGGTCTGCTTCTAGGAAACCTGATCTAAGACTAGGGTGACCAAGTCATTGTGGTTTGTTGAGATTTTCCTGGTTTTAGCACTAAAAGTCTCACATCCAGGGAACCCCCTCAGTCCTGGGCAAACTGGAATGGTTGGTTGCCCTGCCTAAGACAATTGTCAGGTTTAATTTAGAAAAATGCCCCATACATATACCCCTGAACTCAAACCTATTGGCCTCATTAGTTCCTGAAAGATGTATTTGTGAATAGGGTATTAAGACTATATTTCAGTTGGATTGTGACTGGTTAATGCAATGGGCTTCTTTCTCCTGACATGGAACAATTCTGGGTGTAGAGTGATCCTAAGACCCTCAAAATTGGCATCAGTGTATGAGATAAATAGCTTGATGCCTAAAATAGCAAATTCTAGAAAAGGAGCTTTAAACAAAATGGTTACTGAAGTCCAATCAGCCTGTCCACACTACCTCCCTCCCCCAACAAATTCCAAGGAGCTCAAGAGGGCATGAAATCAAAGCCAATTTTGTTCCCTAAAATGCCCTTGTGTAAGGCCTGATAACATTGGATCAATTCACTGAAGCACTTGATAAGCATGGAGAAATCTTAGTCAAGTCTTGCTTATTAGCTTTGAATTTCCAGATATCTTCAAAGTTGATGGACAAGGTCAGGCAGGAAGAAAGAGCTTTCTGCAGGATCTATCCTTATCTCTTGCTGCAATAATATATGCCTAAGATAGTTTATTGGGACCTATCAGATTTGACATTAAATGACAGATAACTTCAAATGCACATACTCAGACAAATGACAATCCAGCAGCATGAGGAAACATTCCTTGTGTTCCTCCATAGTCCTGCCTAAAGCAATTATATTTTCAAGATGAAAGAGTTCATCTGATTCACCCACCTCTCTTTTTCTCTCCATCAGCCACTGATAGTTGGCTGGGGCCCCAGGTAAGCAATTGCTTAAATCTTGAGTTTTGACTTTTTTTTTCTTATTTAAAGACATCTGTTTTTCCTCCCTTTGAACATTTGAAGGGATTTTATCCAGTTCATCTGATGCATTCCGAAGAGGCAGCCAGTTTTAGGGGGACAATTAGTTCCTTGACAATCAAAACATCAGAACTGTACACTTTTGGTTACTTCTTCTAGTTCCCTTTCTACTTGGGACAGAAATAGGAGGATACTGGTAGTAAGGTGGTAGAGCCAAAGAATGCACACTCAACTTCATCAGCTCATCTTACGCATCCTGTAAGTAGTTACTTTTCTTCCGTGGGGACTCCTAATGTTCTCCAGCCTCCCGCTCCAGTGTGTCTGAGCTGTGCTCCCGGCCCATGATGCAGTGTCAGTGAGGATTGCCCTTCACCATCATAGCAGTATTTCACCTTCTCCCAGATTAGAGATCCTGTTTCCTAGCTCCTACCTCTCCCTCATTCTTAACAACCTCATTTTGGTAATACACACCCTACAGGAGCATCTTGAGAGAGGTTACCTGAGAAATAAATAAGCAAATAAATAAATAAAAATTTTGAGACTTCTCATGCCTTCATTCTACCCTTACATTTAACATAGAGTTTGGCTGATATATCAGTTTGGATTAGTTTTGACTACATATAACAACAGCAGCAAAGAAAATAGTGGCTTAAATAAGAGGTTAATTTTTTTCCAAGCATGAGATTCAGGATTCCAGAACAAGTATGAAGACAAAGCTGTGGAAGATCAAGGCCCCTTCACCTTTCTGCTCCACTGTCCTTGGTATGGGGCTTCCATTTTCAGGGGCACCTCACGACCCACAAGGACTAAGAAAGATATTAGATAGTCCCCTCACCCAAGT